ATTCAACATTTACATATTCTCTTGCATATGTATAAATATGAAGCTGCATAATATGTTCACCTCGAACTAGTGATGCACAAAACCAAGGAATCGGAGCCGAAGAAACTGTTCGTTTTGAGAACCGATCAGTGCAGTTCTTACAAGAACCGAAAAACGGTTCGAACAGAACCGGAACTCAATTCCAAAAGAACCGAAAAGCGGTTCTAACCAAACTCAATCCCAAAATAACCGAAACTCAATTCTAAAAGAACCGAAACTAGATTCAAAGGAACCGAAAGCCGGTTCCTGAAGAACCGAAAATTGATTCCGAAACAACAGAAAACGGTGCCAGAAGAACCGAAACTCCATTCCTCGTTTCCTTTACATACAATCGACTTGAAATTCGGTTTGTTTATGTAATATGGAGTTTTGAGTTGACCTACCGTATTTTGTTCGGCTCGAGGTACTATATCATATAGCCGCCATATACCCGATCTAGTCGTGTTATAACCACATTGTTGTTTTTAATGCTATCGAATTTCGAAATTTGGTTTATTTTCGTAAAACTGTTTTCTTTGCATTTTATGTTATGCCAGTTTCCTTACTCATCTTGAAGGCTTTCAATCGCTCTCAGCTGAGATTTGAGTGCGGAAAAAGAGCGGCGACAACATAGAAAAAAATCATGTTTTTTAATGGAAATATTACTTTGTTTTAAATGAAATACTATCACTGAAAGGTTACCAATTCGTCGGAATATTTTTTTTTTTTTATCGAAAAGGTTGTATCTCACAGGTGCTTCCATACTAATTTGGTTTAGATACAATCATTTTATCATGAAAAAATTAACGGTACTCTTAAATTTTTTATGAGAATTGAAGTCGATCATTTTATCAAGAAAAAATTAACGGTAATCTTAAATTTTTATATAAGAATTGAAGTCGGTTGTATTTTTTGCTTAAAAATTCCTTGTTATAAATATGTTTATAAAACAACTATCAACAAAGAAATTATTGTAAAATTTAAATAAATTTTTTTAACTTACTTTATAACAAAAATTTAATCGATATGGCCTATTTCCGTTTTGCGTTGAAACTGTCCTCGACACAACCGGCTCTTTAAATACACGGAACCGCACATCACTACCTCGATGGCGTTAGAATAAACTTTGATCATAACAACATTTTTTTCTGCATTTGAAAAGTTAAAATTTTTCAGCAAATTCCGACTTTTTGCTAGCTGCTGCTTGCCTCCTTTTAGATATGTATGTGTGTATCTTTTGAACATGCAAGCAATTCTTTTTCAACTATTTCCTTTTCCTTTGAAAAAAAAAAAACAAAACAACCATTCAACGCTAAGATGGATCACGATGCTAATCTTATAGAAAATCGAAAACTAACATTGGACTATGCAGGGATTTATACATATTTTCTTGTATACACTCATCCATATATATGCACATACATATAAACGTACATATAAAGCTACATGCAAACAAGTCAACTACCTTAACAAAAAAAAGTTGCATCAAAGCGATTTCCACTTTGAAAATCCAATTTGCTCCATGTCAAGAATTGCTTCCACTAATGCCATGCAAGAAAAGCGATAAGCATTTGCAACTTATAAGTTGCAAGTTGTGGCACACATATTCCTATACGTATAGCAGCAGCATTTTATACTCAAATGGTAACTTCCGAAAGGATGTGTAATTGCGAAAGTAGTTGAATATGGAGACTAGACCATCATGTGATGTAATATAAACGACTTGCAACAAAGTTCTGCATGCCTGTGCCCGGTCAGATGCCAATGTAAAATGGCGCCGACGTCAAACTTTGGCAACAGATGACTTCAATAGAATACTTTTGTACGTACAATTTTGGTTACATGCATGAACCTAAGTATTTATGTATTAGTTTTAAGAAATTTAAACGCTTGCACATGTAGATATGCTTACGTACCCAGAGAAAATCGTTGGACCATGTAGTCTATTTGTGGTATATTGGAGTACTTACAAAAGTGTTCCCCTGTCATGCTGTAGTTTCGAAAAATACTATACTTAAATATTGCGCAATACTCAGAGCAACCATTGTGATTTTTTTTTTAATTTTTTTTTTTTGAGATGGCATATTTTCAAAAATTAATTTTTTTA